TTTTTAAAGATTTTATTTATTTGAGGGGTGCCTGAGTGGCTCAGTCAGTGAAGCCTCTGCCTTCAGCTCAGGTCATGATCCCAGGGGTCCCACATCGGGCTCCCTGCTCAGCGTGGAGTCTGCTTCTCCCTCTCCCTCTGCCTGCCGCTCCCCCTGCTTGTGCGTGAGCGCACACACTCTCTCTCAATCTCTGTCCGTCAAGTAAATAAAAATGTTTTTTTTTAAAAAAAAGATTTTATTAGAACGCACAAACGGGTTGGGGGGGGGCGGGCAGAGAGAGGGAGACAAGCAGTCTCTGTGCTGAACACGGAGCCTGACGTGGGGCTCAGTCTCACGACCCTGAAGTCATGACCTGAGCCGAAAGCAAGAGTCAGATGCTTGACTGACTGAGCCACCCAGGCGCCCCTTGCTTTATTCTGTTGTGGCTGTCCGGATGTGTGCACATCTATCTTCTGCTTTTAAACAGTCCTTTATGGTTTGAATAACCTAAATGGACAACTTTTAAATTTGAACAAAAAAGCACTTGGGGTAAAAAAGGAAAACTTTGTGTTTGTGGAGAGAGTTGGCTTGTGCTTGTTGCAGGGACCGCCTCGAGCAGCTGGAGAGGAAGCGGGAGAGAGAACGAAAGATGCGCGAGCAGCAGAAGGAGCAGCGGGAACAGAAGGAGCGGGAGCGGCGGGCCGAGGAGCGGCGCAAGGAGCGCGAGGCCCGGAGGGAAGGTGCGGGTGGGCGCACCCTGCGGTGGGGTGCTGCTCCCGTGGGTGAGCTCAGGGTTGCACAAGTGACACTGAGGGATGAGGCGCTCGGGATGGTGGCCGAGCGAAGTGGGGACAGGCCGTGGGGCTCAGGAGTTGAGCCTGACCGCGTAATTCCCTGCTGAGGAGGGCCGGGGTCACTTCAGGTGTGAGGTGAGGGTATGCAGCTGGGGCCTTCCCGGGCCTGGTGCTGGAGCTGAGTCTGCTGCCCACACGGGTCAGGCACAGGCTTGAGGAGGTGGGTCGTGGCCCCTTCCTTTTTGATCAGTGGAGAAGAGTCTGGAAGGTCCACGTGGGTCCTCAGGGACAGCTCGCAGCCTCCAGGCCTCTGTCGCCAGGGCATGTGTTGTGTGTCACCACCGGCAAGGGTGCGGGTGAGACCTGACCGAGCTGGGCCCCTGCTGGAGAGGACGCTGCCAGCTCCATGTCCTGCTGTGTTTTGTGCCCCAGTTTCTACGCATCACCGAACGATGAGAGAAGACTATGGCGACAAAGTGAAAGCAAGCCACTGGAGTCGCAGCCCGCTACGGCCACCCCGAGAGAGGTTTGAGCTGACAGACGGCCGGAAGCCAGGTGAGGGTGCACAGTGCCTCTCTGGGGGCCCGCATGGCGTGGCTCTCCGCTGACAGACATTTTAGCACAAAAACTTGCTGCTTTTGCGTACAATGAGAGGATAGGCTACAGTTGTCCCATATCGCGTGACGGGACCGTCATTTGTGTGAAGTATGTTTGTATTTGTCGGTGGAGACGTTTGTTACGGTCTTCGAGAGCCATCTTCCAGCTCAGTGTGGGGGAGCTGTGTGTCACACAAACCACAGTTAGTCTCTGCATGAAAGATGCCATCGGGTCTTGTTTATTGTAAAACACTTCCCACATTCACCTCTGGTGGTTTGTTTCATAAGTAAAAGAAGAGAAAATGGAAGAGAGAGACCTGCTGTCCGACCTACAAGACGTCAGCGACAGCGAAAGGAAAACCAGCTCCGCCGAGTCCTCGTCAGGTAACCGCTGGTTTCGCCGCTGCGCAGGGAGGGCCCACCGGTCCCCACCGTGCACTTCCGGCTGTTTTCTTCCCGAAGCGGAGTCAGGGTCGGGTTCAGAGGAGGAAGAAGAGGAGGAGGAGGAAGAAGAGGAGGAGGAGGAGGAGGAGGGGAGCAGCAGTGAAGAATCGGAGGAGGAAGAGGAGGAGGAAGAGGAGACCGGGAGCAACTCTGAGGACGCATCTGGACAGTCGGCTGGTGAGGGCACAGGGCTCTGATGGTTTTGTTTGGTGTTTAGAAACTGCAGAGAGAGCATTTGAACTCTCAGTTTTAAAAATATTTCCAAACAGAAAATGCCTTGGTATCTGGGACTCACATGAGACCCCAAAATTGATGATTTACAGTGGTTCTTGGTTTCGGGTGGCTAAAGCAGACCCTTGTTTGTGCTCGTGGAGGGTCTGAACGGCCCTGCAGGTCTGAGCAGACGCCCACTCTGTCTTGCAGAGGAAGTGAGCGAGGACGAGATGAGTGAGGACGGAGAGCGGGAGAGCGAGAATCATGTCCTGGTCGGTGAGCGGCAACCCCGCTGGGCGGTCCTTCCCTCGGGCCTTCCCTCGGCTGCCCCTCAGCGACGTGACCCTTTCTAAAGCCAGCAGATCACCATCTTGTGTGCGCAGCCCTCCCCCGAGGCACAGGCAACCGACTCCGAGAGACCCGCTTGTGACCGTGGAGGGCCAGCACCCCTGACTAGGGGCAGTGCTAAGTGAATGTCATCCTCAGCATCCCAGTGGCTTAGACACGGCAGGGAGGCACCCTCCGCCCTGGCCTCTGAGCTCCGCTCCATCCGCAGGGCGGGCACCCCCAGTAGGCAGCAGCCAGGCCATGCCCTCAGGGCCTGACGGACGAGTCCTGGCTGTGCCGCCTTTGAGCCCCGGCTCCAGTCAGCGGCTCCCAGTGCTCACGGCTGAGGTGGCGAACCCCAAGACCCCAGTGCCCTCTGTCCAGAGTGGTGGGGTACGCAGCTGTGTGCAGCATCTGGGGTCTCTCCCGTGCGGCTCTGGTGTGCACTCGGTGTCCCCCCCACCCCCACCCCAGAGCAGCAGAGGGGCGATGACACTGCTTATTCGTGGTTCCACAGTTGGGTTTAACATTTGAAGTTCCAGAGTCCCGATTTGACCGAGACTCCGGAGACAGTGAGGAAGGGGAGGAAGAAGCCGGCGAGGGCACTCCGCAGAGCAGCGCCCTGACTGAAGGCGACTTCGTGCCGGACTCTCCTGCCTTGTCACCCATTGAACTCAAACAAGAGCTGCCCAAGTACCTCCCTGCCCTGCAGGTCAGGCGTCCCCCACCCCAGGGCTGGCTCGACTTCGCCGACGGTGGACAGGGTTGGGGGCTCAGAGTATGAGCGGGGCGCCTGGTGTGGGCATCTGCCGCCGGGGTCACCTGTGCCTCGAGGGAAGGTGCCGGGGCTTTGGTGGTGTGCTGCCGCGGGTGTTCCTGTCCCCGTTGTTATCTTAGCGCAGGGCGGCCAGGCCTGGCTCAGGAGGACATGCCCAGGACCAGGTTTTGTCCATGTTGGTTTTATTTCTTAAGCCAAGAGCATGTGCTCACTGAAGAAGCCGGGGAGGAGGGCTGCTGCTGGTCCTGCCACCAGACACGTTCTGGGCGGGGACTGCTGCACCAGCTCAAGCAGGTGTGAGCGCAGCCACGGCTGCTGCGTCCTCATGGCGTGCTTCCTTTCAGGGTTGTCGGAGCGTGGAGGAATTCCAGTGCCTCAATAGGATCGAAGAAGGCACTTACGGGGTGGTGTACAGGGCAAAGGACAAGAAAACAGGTGGGTGCAGTATCGAGTGGTTCCCCAAGGTGGGAAGGGCAGATGTAGGACAGGAACCAGGCGGCACAGAAAACCTGTCCTCGGGCAGGAAGGAATTTCTCCTGAGGAGCATTGTCCTTGGGTGCACCCACCGCCCTTCCTCAGGCCCAGCCGGGCGTTTGCTGTGCACAGCCTTGCTGGGCCCACATGCGGGCTCTGGGAGGGAGGCAGGGCGTCTTGCTCCAGCCACAGCCAGCTTGCAGGGACTGAGATCCAAGCCTGGGCCATCCTGACCCTTGGCACTCTCAGTATCAAGGTCATTGAACACACAGTTCCTACTCTGAGAGTCTTCCCTCCCCAGATGCCCGGTCATGGCCTCGCCTTACCTGGCAAGCACGGGCCCCTGAGCAGTTGACTCCTTGATGTCTGTGGAGTCCAGAGGTCAGCCTGACTGTAGGCTCTGCTGCTTGCTTGTGACGGCAGGTGCCTCGGCTCCAGAAGGAACTGTGGAGTCTGCTTTGAGTGCTAGCACCTGAGCAGGTGTGTGAGTCATGGACCGGAAGCTTCCCTTCCGCCCACATCTGGGTCTTGGAAACTCGGGGAGGCACCACCTGAGATCCTGAGACCCTGATGAATGTTTCCATGTTGGGATGTTGAGGTTTGCCGTGTCTCCTGGCAAATCACAGTCGGGCTAGAGAGAGAAATAGGACAATCCTCCTTATCTGTTTTGGACAAAAGCTGGTCTGGAAATAGGCCTCATGTTTCTGTCAGGCAACAGGTTTGGGTTTTTTTCTTGGTGCTGACGTGATACGGGACTTTCCAGTTAAACAAGACTTCTCGGGCGCCTGGGTGGCTCAGTCGTTAAGCGTCTGCCTTCGGCTCAGGTCATGATCCCAGG